ACAAATTTCTTACAAACAATATTTGAATACCAGTGAGCAATTATCTTGATTTAAAAAAAAAAAAAAAAAATTGTTCAATTAATGTTGACAGCTGTCCTCTTTTTCACCCATGAGGCTTTTCTGTTTATTCCCCCTCCCTCTCCTTCCACACCTTACAGGTAATTCCCCTTTTCCTCCATGTCACCTGCTAATCTCTGTTCTGCTTTCACTCAGTCTTCTCCCTTTCATCTTCGTATTCCTCTCCTCCCTGACCCACCTTAGAAACAAACTCCTATTTTACCTCTTCATAACATCCCAAAATTCTTCTCCTCTCCACCCTGCATTGTTCGTGGTGAACTTTCAAATTCTATAGTTGAACATTAACTGATAGTTACCTTCTGGTGATGGAACTGAATTGCTGCATCAACTCAGAATTAATATAGATTTGCACAGGTTTAAATAGCTCACTTAATCCCACCGGTCTTTTGGAAGTCCAGGCAGTGCACTCAGCCAAATGTCAAATTGCAACGTCTTTGCAGGCAGACAATAAATCCAGAAAGCCCTGACCCAGATGGATCCTGAAAACTAGGACAGTTCTAGTTTAAATGAACTGAACCTATATGCAACTGTCTGAAATGCATTCCATTCATATTTTGGGCCTAAGAATATTTGGGAGTGTGTTGAAGTATGCGACCTCATTTCACTTCAGCCCCTAAACCAAAATCACTCAGGCAGCAACTGATTTTTAAAACAGAGCGCACACTGCACACACACACACTGGGCTCATCTGAGGCCCAATACACCATGCTCGTCTTTAGGGAACCACTGCTGATAAGACGGGGAAGGTGTGTGGGGGGAATTTTAAAAAAATCAACAAATACATGATGAGAGTTCTCACACATAATTTAGACCAGAACAGAACTACAGTAAGGATGGGATCCCTCTGTAACATTGCGGAGTTGTTCTTCAAGCTGTACTGAATGTGGGAACCTAAAAGACAAACAGAAGCTCAATTTTGTTAGTTCTGCAGAGACGATCCTTCATTTCGCATTTTGAACATTAGGCAATAATATACTTACCATGAACTATTACACTTACCGTATAGATTTAAAAAAACCCTGCAAAATCAGCAGTATCACAAGTTGGTCATCTCCCATGTAACACATGCTGCTAACCCATCGGTCTTTGGGTTTATGAGATCAGTTTGCTTCTTCTAGGATCATGCACTGAGATCAACTGCAAGAGAGCTAATCTTCCATCCATAAGATTATTTTTAATGAATGCATTAACCACTTTACGCAGACATACATCTACCTGTATCATCAACTAACTTGAACAGATGAAAAGTTGATAAAGAATGCAGTGTTACACAAAAATACAACAATATTTTTACATTTATTATGTTACTGCTTAACTGATAGGAATATAAAAAGGAATATAAAACTCCCTTTTAAAATAGAAATGTCTGAGAAACCACAAGAATAAACAACCTTTAAAAACATTTTATGAAGCACTGTATTCCACACTACACAGAACATTATATAGACACCTAGAAGGGAAAATGTTATTTTAAAAAAACCAAAGCAGAATAAATATTTTTATCAGATAAAGTAACCAGTTTTTACACACTCCAGGATTTTAGATTTTTAATAAAAAAGAAACATTTACTTTTCTGAAAATATCAACTTTCATTTTGATTCTACATTTATAAATCAAACATGGAAATAAATAGTTATTATTAGTATTGTCAAAGAAAAAACATTGCAAGACCTCTGTGCAGTATTGACTAGGATTATCAATTTGAATCCCTGGTGTGCATACTCTGTAACCATAGTTCAAAAAAACCCAAAATAAAATTAAAAAATCAAATCTGTAGAGTAGGTGATGAATAGTTACTTTGCTGACTCATTCCAGATGTATATGCAAGTTCCAACGAAGGGAGCGCCCACGATGAAGATAGCTGTGATGGAGGTGAGAAGAACGAACCAAAAATCCTGTTAGAAGCACCTCTTTGATCAACCTGCTGCTAAATCACTGTCTGCTGTCAATCAAAGACTGCAAGTACCACACTACATGGGTTAACAGACTTAGTTCTGGAATCTTCCAGCAGATGTCCTCACAAGGCAGTGATGTCAGGAAGGCTAGAGATGTCACCATTTGAAAAAGACTGAGATGGGAAGGAAAATTGACTCAAAATAAGGGTGATATAAATAACTAGATAGAGAAATTCAAAGTATTTCATTTATTCTCAAGTGCCAAACTTAAAACCATAAACAACATGTTAAAAAATAAGGCTGTGATCTTAAAAAAAAAGGGGGGGGTTGCAAAAAAAGCACATCTGTTTTAAGTAGGTCATCTGTTTCAATTTTGTTAGGTAATTCTTACATCTCAGTAATAAACAGAACAGGAGGTTAAAAAAATGATGGTGAAAAGCATGAGCACAGGTTTCAGTGCCATAAAGACTTTAACCCTGTCCTTCTCCCTTCCGTTTCACGTCAAAACTGACACTAAATTTATTGTGTGCACAGAGCTGGTGTGCAGCTTTCTGCACTACTCCCGAGTGCCAATGACATACAAATGTTGTCACGAAGTTGGTATTCTTGGAAACAAAGTCCCTTGAGTATTTTTAGGGAGACTTAAAAAGAACGATTTCCTTAAAATAGCGATCCTCATCATTACTGCTACAAGTGGGAAGTTTTGATACCACATTAAAAAATATTTGACTTGTTCTTAGAATCATTTAGGTTGGAAAAGACCTTTAAGATCATTAAGTCCAACTGTTAACCTAACACTGCCAAGTCCACCACTAAACCATGTCCCTAAGTACCACACCTACACATCTTTTAAATACCTCCAGGGATGGTGACTCCAGTACTTCCCTGGGCAGCTTCTTCCAATGCTTGACAACCCTTTTGGTGAAGAAATTTTTCCTAGTATCCAGTCTAAACCTCCCCTGTCACAACTTGAGGCCACTTCTGCTTGTCCTATCACTTGTTATTTGTGAGAAGAGACCAACACCCACCTCACTACAGCCCCCTTTCAGGTAGTTGTAGAGAGCGATAAGGTCTCCCCTCAGCCTCCTCTTCTCCAGGCTGAACAACCCCAGCTCCCACAGCTGCTCATCATAAGACTTGTGCTCCAGACCCTTCACCAGCCTCGTTGCCCTTCTTTGGACACGCTCCAGCACCTCAATGTCTTTCTTCTAGTGAGGGGCCCAAAATTGACCACAGGATTTGAGGTGCGGCCTCACCAGTGCTGAGTACAAGGGGAAAACCACTACTCTAGTGCTGCCGGCCACACTATTTCTGATAGAAACCAGGATGCTGTTGGCCTTCTTGGCCACACTGCTGGCTCATATTCAGACGGCTGTTGACCAACACACCCAGGAAAAGGACCCCCAGGTCGTTTTCTGCCAGGCAGCTTTCCAGCTACTCTTCCCCAAGCCTTTAGCATTGCATGGGGTTGTTATGACGAAAGTGCAGGACCCGGCCCTTGGCAGTGTTGAACCTCACACGACTGGCCTCGGCCCATCGATCCAGCCTGTCCAGATCCTGTAGAGCCTTTCTACCCTCAAGCAGATCAACACTTCCACCCAACTTGGTGTTGTCTGCAAACTTACTGAGGGGGCACTCGATCCCCTCACCCAGATCATTGATATTCTTCTATGTAGTGAGTAATGCATCCACAATTAACTACACAGAGACACCTATGAGAACGATTCAGTCAAGTACTGGTCTACAAAGCTGCAGTTTTTTACCCAGGCCCGTAAGACCAGTATCTCCAGCCCTCAATCTGTTACCTCTTTTAATGCAGATGTTCATGGTTTCATACATGAGAAGCCACACAGGGACAGAGGAAATCAAGAAGC